TAGTCAGATATGTGTCCTTAGATAAGTGATCAAATATTCATCCGTTCTACAAGGTATCGTATGGACAAGAGACATGGACTATAATCATTCTCTTTGTCCAAGATTTGTTAATTTCCTGATTTTCGATTTATGATGACTGATAACAGACTACTAATTGAACACATCAATTCAGTCATGACTTGGCCAAGCGCTTTAGATGTCATCATCAAATCATCAAGGGGCCCACATATATCGTTTTCCCCATTTAGGATAAAAGGAATGGATAAACTTTGACTCATATGCTTGTACTATTCACTCATCAAATCACGCACAACAATACTTTTTATAACATCAAGTTACTGATGTGTTTACGTATTATCAGTACACAACTGACTCATAAACAACAACTCATATGTCTCCGTTTCAAGAACATAAGATATTATCGTCTCAAAATTACTCATGATAAAATCCAAGTAGTAATTCTCTGATCTTAGGTTAATCCAATACTTAAATCTCTATTTCAAAAGTACTCATGAATACTACATCAAACCATTGCTATGTCTAACCCTTTAGACAATCTACAGTCTGATTCATGACAGTCTTAATTCTTTACTTACTTCCAAAAGTATGATCGACTGTGGATGTTTTGAATAATCCAATTATTAGGGAAGTAAAACATGCGAATTTAAACACAATAATAACCTAATTAACTATGGTCTCAAAACTATTAAATAGCTTGATTCTCTTCAAGAATGCTTGAATATTCTTTCCTTGGAGCTTAGAGTCACAAATGTCACTCCTCTAATGGCTTACAAACACCAAAAGCAAGAGGATGATATTGGAGAGAGGGAAGGAGCACCAAAAATGTCCAAGAACCCTTAGGGATTACTTCTACACCTTTTTGGGGCCTTAGGGGTTCCTTATATAGTGAGGCTATTAGGGTTTTGAACTAGGAAACCCTAATCTGAATGCTTAGGCCCTAAGCAGCCTATGAACTCCCTCCTTAGAATCCTTGGACAAATTCTAACAGGTTTCCCCATAGATTTCGTCCACTCCAACTTCTATGGAGTCCATTAGCCCAATATTCAACTATCACACAATTGACAACTCTAGTCCCCTTTATTTAATTAATGTCTTTTAGCCACGAAATTAATTCTTAATTAATTTCTATCTAATATTAATTAAACAATATCATTTCTACTTTAATATATTATTCATATAATATATTAATAAACCATAATAACCTCTCTCTCTCTCTCTCTCTCTCTCTCTCTCCGATAGGACCATGCACAACCGGGTCAAGTACATACCAAATATAGTTACAGGCTTAGACATTAATCCAACAGTCTCCCACTTGGATAAGTCTAGTAACTATAATGAAAGTACAATCCGATTAGCAATCGTAGCTCTCAAAGATGCTGTCGAACTCTGATCTTATCAACAACCTGTCCTTTAGATAAGGGATCATATATTCCTCCATTCTAGATATCATATAGACTAAGACATGGATTTAAATCATTCTCTCTGTCTGAAGGGGGCAAAGAATCGAATACAAAGTAATCCCACGGAGAGAAAGGTTTTCTTTAGTAGGAATACTTCGTAACTGTAATCTCCAAATAAAGATATTCACCTTGATAGGCACCTAATTATTCCAACGAGTTTTAGGACCCCCCGAATATAACATATGACTATCCAAAAAAGCTCTGAGAGAAGAAACAATGAAGGAATCAAAAGCATCAATATTCCACCCCAAACGATTCGAGATGGAATGAAGAAGAACATCCTACATTAAGGAAGCAAAAGCAGTCCATTGAGTCTCCTCAATACCCCCTCTAGGAGTCCGCCTGAGAAAAGAAGAATCCCATCCAAGAAGCATTCTATCACGGACCGAAAGAGATTTATGAAGATAGAGAGCATAAATCCTATGAAAAGAAGTAGCCAGGGGGTATGTCCCTTCCACACATCATGCCAGAAAGAATTCATATTCCCATCACCAACCCTAATAGGAAAAAAAAATGCCTGAGATCAAGACCACGATTATTAAGTTGGACCAGCATCCGAATAACACCATTCTAAGGACCAATCAATCCTCTTCTATGAGAGATGGAGAAAGAGAGAGAGAGAAAGGGAGAGAGAGATAGATAGATAGATAGATAGATAGATAAAGAGAGAGAGAGAGAGAGAGAGAGAGAGAGAGAGAGAGAGAGATCTACAACCACCATCAGAACCATAAAGAGCTTAGACAATTTTAACCTAGATCAAATCCGGATTATGAAAGAATCTCCAACGCCATCTGTAGAGTAAAGCCCGATTGAAGGAAAACAAACTGCCAATACTAATCCCCTCGTCCTTTTTTTAAGCTAAGACTCTATCCCAGCCAACCCAGTGCATGCATCTCTTGTCTAAGTCAGCACCCCAAAAGAACCTGGCCCGAAGAGACTCCAAGGTGTTAACAATAGAAATCGGAACCATGAAGATAGACATCAAGTAACTACCGAGGCTTCCAAGAACCGATTTGATCAAAGAGAGACGGCCTCCAGACTAAAGGCATTTCGCTTTCCAACCCGAGAGTTTTGAGCGAAAACGATCAACAATAGAAGACCAAGCATAAATCTGAGACATATTCTGACCAACAGGGACTCCGAGATGAATAAAAGGACAAGACGCAGGAACACACCCGAGCTGCCACCTCAACTTGAGCAAAAGGAACCTCCATTCCAATCAATTTGCTTTTTTGTAAATTGATTTTGAGACCCGTAGCTAAGTAATAACACCGTAGGGTACGAATAATATGAGAAACATTTTTTGGGTCCCATTTTGACATCAAGACAACGTCATCAGCATAAAACAAGTGTGAGATGTCAATTCCACTAATAGAAATGCCTCGAAACACGTTTGTGGAATGAACTTTAAGTAAAGCTACATGGAGATCTTCCATCACCAGAATAAACAAAAAAGGGGACAAGGGGTCACCTTGTCTCAGGCCATGTTGGATTTGAAATTCATCAGTAGGGGACCCATTAACTAGAAGAGAAGCCCTAGCAGATCGAAGAAGCTCCATAGTCCAATCACACCACAACTTACCAAAGCCTATAATCTGCATAATCTCCAAAAGATACTCCCACGAGATAGAATCAAAAGCCCTCTCAAAATCCACTTTAAAAATCACAAGAGGATGATTCGAAGACTTACTCCAAGCAACCACCTCATTAAGAAGAAAAGAACCATCCAAGATTTGTCTACCTTTAACAAAGGTAGACTGCTCTAGACTAACAATAGAACCAATAACCTCCACCAACCTATTAGCTAATAATTTACCAATAATTTTGTATCAGCAACCTATTAGACTAATAGGTCTACAATCTTGAATATTCTTAGGGTCTCAAACTTTAGGGATAACCGTAAAGAAAGAAGCATTGCAACCTTTTGGAACCGAGCAGTGACTATGAAAATGTTGAATGAAAGCCACCAAATCATCAGAAATAAGATCCCAAAATCTTTTCAAGAAACCAAAAGAGAAACCATCTGGCCCAGGAGCCCGATCTGAACCACAATACCAAACAACCCTTTTTATATCATCACGAAAGAAAAGAGCTTGAAGAAAAAGAACTCGATCTTCCGTGAGAGTATGAAACAGATTAGGATTAGTAGAAGGGTGTCTTCCTTTATTTCTCTAGAAAAGATTTTTGTAATAATTTTGGAATTCCTTCTTAACCCTCCAAAGATCATCCATCCAAAACACCATCAATCATGATACCTCTTATAGCAAGATGACGCCTCTTCCGATTAATAATACCATGGAAAAAACTAGAGTTCTCATCCCCTTCAATAGTCGACTGAATTTTCGCTTTATGCACTGACGCTGCTCTAGAATGTTGATCCAAGTCCACCAATTCTTTAATAGTTGAAACTCTTTGTTCATGAAGATCAGCACTACCCCCGTCAAGCATAAGAGAATCACCAATCTCTTCAACTTTATCCTGAAGAATTTTCCTTTTAATAATCAAACGATCTCGAGCACTAGAGTTCCATAATCTTAAGTTAGATTTAAGAAGTTGAAGCTTCTTCCTAAAAACAACCCAAGGATTATCAATCATATTCCCAACAATAATGGAGTTCCAAGAATTATGAACCACTTCATCAAAACCTTCCAACTCGAACCAAGAATGAAAAATACGGAAAGGAGACGGACCATAATCCACACGATGCTCTGATAAAACAATAGGGCGATGGTCTAGGATATTTTTGTCCAAAACCAAACCTGTAAGATGAGGGAAACGCAACAAAAGACCTTCGGTGACCAACAAAGATCAACTTTAGAAAACTTGAATCCCCATCTAGCATTCCAAGTATAGTGAGGTCCACCCATAGGAATATCAACTAACTCAGCATGATCAATAAATTGATTAAAAGTTCTAGCGGGGATATGTTGGAACTGAGAACCAAATCTCTCAGACTCATCTTTGACTTCGTTGAAATCTCCCATGACCACACATTCTCCCGAGAAAGAAGCAATCAAGGTAGAAATTTCATCCCAAAGTTGTCTTTTACAATCGTCTCTCTGGAGAGCATAGACGGAAATCAGCAAGACATCCATTCTAGAGATAGCCCAAATCCCCTCCACCGCCACATACCAATTAGAGATTATTACTTTATTATGAATAAAGATATTTGGGTCCCAAATAACCAAAATACCTCCCGAAGCACCGTGAGAAGGAGAATAGGCATGAGAAAACGCAAGGTTACCCCATAAAGAACGAACAAGAAAAATGTCAATTAGCTTCTTTTTTGTTTCTTAAATAGCCAAAAAGTTAACTTTAAATTTAACACAAAGATTTTATCCACACCTGTTTCTCTAAAGAACCCGCTCCTTGAATATTGATAGATAAACAATTCATATCTAAATTTCTATAAATTGCTCCTCTTGAATAGTATTTTTAACTTGTTCAGAACAACCATTCATATTAAGACCAATAATCCCTCCCATAGCAATTGTTTTTTTGGATTCAACCACATTTGAGTCAGTGTTGAATGAGCCTTTCTGAGAATACATCTTTTTCTCCATAAATCAAATTTGAGAAACCAGATGGATGAGAAAGAGAATCATCAGTAGATTGAATGCCCGACATACGAATGTATCCACTTGAAAAGCCAACCAGTGCAGGTTTATTAGAAGCGTCTGTCCCAACTGGAAATGGCCATGAATCAGCAGCATGTGTTGAAGAGTTCTCGGAAGTCACAGCAAGGGCTGCTGTTGTGATAGGTGAAGTGGTAGGGGCTATAAATACAATTAATAGTGGATTAAAACATTGCCCTCATAATTGCCTAATTATAAGTTGTAAACTTCTAATTATATTTTTGGGTTTGGTAATCCCCGATAGAGTGACATTTTTTTTTTTACCTAGTTGCACAAATTTTTTTACGTTGTTGCACAATTTTTTTTACATAATGGCACAACTGGTAAAAATTAGAAAAATCGAAAATTTTCCACTAAGTATGGGGAAAGTACCTCACTGAAACTGCCCCTAGACGTCTCCTAATTTGGGTTTAAATATGTCATGAGTAACCTTTAGGTGTAGGTGATTAAGAGGAAATAGAGGATGACTACGGATTAATCAGAAAGGAATAATGTCTAGGAATTTAATGACAAATGGACGATATGGTGTATGAATAGTAGACGTAATGTGAATTATTTACAAGTTTACCCTTGGTAAGTAATTATACATGTATTAGAATATAAGAATCAAATCTTAAAACTTAAACTACGATAGATATGTGGATTTAGATAACAATTTGATTCGAATTATAATCTGAATCCAAATCAATATCTAGACCAAATCATCATGATCTTCTCTATTTCCCTCAATATGAAATAGAAATTTAATTTTAGCAACACGTTTTTACTTTATGCTTTTTTTCACGGACTTTCTTTCTTCTTTATCCTTCATCAACGTTTTCCAATCCTGCTGTCAAACTTCCTTTCCTTCATTCACACAGGTAAGCACCAACTGTCTACTATTGTATTCATACAAATTTATTTTTAAAACACTATAAAATTAAAATTGTAAATAACCGTATTAGAAAAATATAAAAATTTGAATCAAGGCAGACACAAAAGAGGTATCCCTATTTTGGAGGGAAAAAGATAAGTTGAAGTTTGCAATGAAAGATAGGCATTTGGGTTTTGATGTAAAGAACGAAGGTAACATTTGTGTTTTAGGTTTTGATATAAAACTATGTTTCTTGTGTTATTTATGTAAACTGTATCATGCAAAAAACTGTAAAATGTAAAAGAACCATAAAGATTGTGTTGCATGTGATACGAGTAAAATTGATTGGATACGGACAAAATGTGATCGTATTTGTATCTACATTTTCTTGTTTAATGTGGATAAAAATATAGTTTTCTTTATTGCAACTTTGCTTTTATGCTTTTACAAAACAACGCAACAATCCTAGATACATTTTATTCACTACAAAATAGAACAACAAATAAACGTTTTATGGCTACAAAATAGAACAGAAGGATAAAATGATCATTCTTAACATTCAATATTGTCAGATATATAATTAAACAATACAGTTTTAATCGGACATATGCAATCAAAACTAACTTTACCTGACTCAATTAGATGAGACTCGGTCAACGACTATCAAATAGTCCCTTAAGATACTTATAACATTGATTAAAGATACCTTCTACAACATGCAATTAATCATGTTCATTTCATTTTCATACTATTTCAATTTTCCTCAGCCATATTAAGATATAACAACAGAATAAATCACCATATCAATTGTCCCTGTACACAAGACTTCACCAAGTAACTAGAAACAAAATTCTATGGCTTATTCAAGTAATCATTCTCTTTTATTGTCTACCATAATTACCCTTTGTATACAAAAATATACTCCAAAATTTTTGCATAATTGACAACAATCCTTCTCCGGAATTCAACATTACATAAATCTATCGATCCCAACCGTCCTTCCTCCTCCGGAATCCAACTTTCCATTCCGTTATCCCCCCATACAACTCCGTAAATTTCTCCAAACACCTACCCCTCACCCGATAATGCGCTTGTGTATTCCCACTAATCGCAACCCCGGAAAACTTGGACGTATCAATCGCCCAAGCCGGTTTTATATATTCCACCGAATGCCCCCCAGGGGTAGAATTGGAATATAAAAAATTCATCAAAACATCCTCACAATTAAAAACCTCATCCACCATTTTCCTTCCCAATTCCGCTTCCTCACTCCAATACCTCTCAAACGCGAATTCCCGGTCAACAAACGCCGCCCCGGTCAAAACCATATTATACCCGTCATGTTTCCGGGCATGTTTCTCGGGTCGGTACTTTAACGGTGACGGCCCGGTGACTAACCGTGGGTAAAACCCGACTAACCGGGTCGGGTTTTCCCGCCAGACTTTAAACCCGCGTTCAAGATCATCACAATTCATCATGATGTCATCGTCCAGTTCGAGAACCGCTTTGGTTTTGATAAACGGGTCGACCCGGAACCGGTTGTTCAACGAGTTTTTCTCCTCGACCCGGATCCGAACCGGAACCGCAGATTCCAATTCCAATGGGTTTGGCGGTTTCCCTTTGTTCCAAACCACCAAAATTTCGCGAACCGATGCGCATTTGGAATAATGATTTACATACATTTTCAAATTCCACATTCGGGCATCATATGTCATTGCTAATAAAGTGAATTGTGAAAAATGGTTGTTAACCGGATACGGTTTTTCCGACCCGTTTCCCCCATACATGTACCCGAATCCAATACATGCTATCACGATTGATAATATTAAAAGAACCGTTAAAATAAACTTACCCATGTAAGTATTAGGGTTAATTGTTTGATGCAACCGGAGTCTCAATTTCAATCTCTCCCAATTTAAAATGGAATCGTTTCTTTTCTTCATATGTGTGAGTGGAATGAAGCACTTGATAAACCCTAGCAACCAACAGGTTAAAAGAACGATTGAACCAGAGGTGATAATCAAACCACACCCAACCACGTGTCTACTTGTCACATCCCCAAAGTGGGTCCGATCCCCATCTGCAACCGCGACCCATTCCCCGGTTCTCAATCGTTGGAAATCCAAGTGGTGAGATCGGGCCCCATTCCATGCGTTTATACCTTTTGTTGACTTTTCAAGTTTGAAGTCGACTTCCGATTCTATGTAATGGTGAGTTGTAAGATGTTCGATCTTGAACACACGGATGTTTTCACTGTGACCTAATCGGTAAAGATTCCCGTTGTAAATGAAGGGTCGGCCTCCGTTTCGTGGTCCGGAAAACGGGTTTTTCATGTGTGGGGTCCACGGCCCAAACGGGGTTTTACTATACCAGATTTCAAGGTCACCGAAGGTCAACCGGGTTTGGTAAGAACCGAAAATCCAATACATATTTTCGTGGTATATGATGACGGAATTGACCAAAGGGCGTTGTAAAATGATCTTTTCGAGTTTCCATTTGAAAGGAAACTCGATTGATTTGTAAAGACGAATGTCACGGGTTCCACTTCCTTGAGGCATCATGTATATCTACAAGGGAATGTAAAAGATGATGAAATATGGATGATGAAATAAAGAAATTGGGGGTTTAGAAGTATAGAGTTTTACTTGATGATTGTAGTTGAATACATATGGATGCGAAAGATGCCAATCTTCATCCAAAACTACTCCTAGTTGTTCCCAATTTACTCCATTATCATTGCTTCTTGCAACCCCAATATCTCCTTGCATTGTTATCACATTCTTGGTTTCAAAGAATATGTAAAGAAAATCATCCTGTGTCATAATAAGTGTTGTTAGGATAAACGATGCTTAAAAATATGGGAAATGGAAGGAAATATCAGATAAGGGCAAGTTTATGAAAACTAAGGACTTAAAAGACAAAAGATTCATTCTTATGTCGTTCTTTATTTAATCGTTCTTTAAAAGAAACATCTTAGTTGAATAAATGAGGGCAAATTTGAAAGAAGTCGAGATTTAATAGGACAAATCTACTTTTGGTAACGATCATTCTACATTCACTAGCAATCAACCTTGATTGGAAAAGACTAATAAACCCTTTAAAAAAAGGGTACTTTTAAGCAATTATAACTCTCATTATTTCCTAAAAAAACGGAACAAACTATATATAGACAATAAGGGAGTAGACAACTAACTCAAATAAGCTCCTAGACATGATAATTTGAGATCACGATAGGAGCCCACTTCCTCTTTTCCTTTTCAAAAAGAGCAAAATTATACCACGTAATATAACAAACCATTAAAGAAAGTGAATCTTTAACCAGCTCTGGATCCAAGATTCTTGATTAAAAACAATTAAATTTAGCCATCAAATTTCATAAAAGTGACACATGCTTTAAGAAAAGATTGGTGGAAGCCTAATCCTTGGTTAAAAAACAGAATATAAGATCAAAATTCATTTCATATGATCATGAAATTGGAAAAAGAAAATACAATAAAGAAATTACCTTAGCATAAAGAAAAGGGTTAGCGACATAATTACTTGGGAACCCAGAATTAGTAACAGAAGCACAAGTCAAAATTGGGTTCGCTACAGGCCATGCTGCGCTTTTGTTGTCCCAAATATTCATCTGCAATCCATTCAAACAAAGATGAAAGACCCACTTCATATATTAAAACCCCACAAAAAAAGTCTAATCTTTATTTAATTTAATTAAAGAATTCAAATCGAGAATCTTAGAATAGTAATACCCACTTGAGATATCACAAAATCCAGCAAAAAAGACAACTTCTTTGATTAGTTTGACTCCCAAATCAGATATATCATAATATATCCATCATATATCTATAACCCACAAAAAGCCTAATGTTTTTCAAATTAATCAAAGAAGTTAAATAAAAAAAAGTCATAGAAGAGTAACACTCGCATCATAATAGTATATACCAAAAAAGTCAAGCAAAAAACACAATTTCTTTAATTATGTTGATTCCCCAATTAAAAAGTTCATAATAGTCCCACACAATAGTCCATTCATATATAAGACCTTAGAAAAAGATCATGAGCTTTTGGAATAATGTAAGGATTTCAGATAATAAACCATAACAAAGTTTGATTCCGAAAAAAATAAACAAAATCATCAATTTTTGGGAGTAATGTAAATCCCTAAATAAGGAAGATGCATAAGAAGGTAGACGATGGAGTTGAGAGCTTACATCTTCGATGGGTTTAAGAGAAAAAGGGGAATCACCATAGAAAGCTCCGATTGCCCATGAACCATCGTTATCCTCTTGACAACCGAGTGAATTATTATAATTCAAATTAGGGTTGTTGAACAAATAAAAGATGTAGAAAACCCCAACCGAACTACACAACAGAAACGAAACAAACAGGTAGTGCACAGTCGGTGAATGACCACCGCCATTGTCGTGCACACGCCACCGGGACCCGTGGGTTTTATCTGACGCTCCGCCGGTAATGCCCACAAACGGACTCGAACCCATGTCGCCGGGAACAGTAAACTGCAACGGCGGTGATTTAAATCTATCAATAATCCACCGATAAACAGATCATCTCATACACAAATCTCCAGATTATTGAATATCAAAAGGGTTTTCAAATTACACAAAGCATTCGCTCCAAATATCGATATGCGATGGAGATTATATCAAGAATTCTGAGTGGGTGGTGCTTGTTTCTCTATCTAAAATTCCCAAAATGGTGGTGAAAGAAAAGGTGGCAGACACCTATGCGGTGGTGTGTGTTGGGATAGCGTGACGTGCGTGTTTATATATATAAAGAGATAAAGAGATTAAAGATAAACCGGATGATGTGTATGTGTAATTTGGGAATTGTTTATAGTTATAAATTTCATGTAGATCACCAATAAAGGTAGATATATGTTTAATGTCGACAATCCGAAACAAGAATGATGCCTAATGATATTAAAGACTCGAGATGTGTTGTAATTTTCAATTTGCCGCTTACACTACAAAGAGTTTTCTTGACGTGTGAGTTGTAAGTTATAGTTCACGTTTTCCGTATTTTCAATTCTTTTATTGCATTTAATAAAAAGGTAAAGGAATTAAGTTGTTTAAATCTTGTATAACGATTTCGATTCTTGTATGTGATAATTGAAAGCTGTTTGTTCTATCTTTTGTCCCTAAAAAGTGAGGGGCTCTTTTATCTTTTTTCCATAAAAAGTTAGCTACTATTTAGTCAACAACTATTAAAAAAAATAATAATAATAATAAAATAAAATAAAATAAAAAATAAACAAAGTTTTAAAGACCAATATAATAGCAAGAATCGAAATATGAAAAGCACTTAAAAGTTTCTATAATTTACATAAATTGTTTCCAATCATCAACATGATTTTACATGAAATGTTTCCAATCATCAACATGATTTAAATCAACTATAAAACATCAAAATTAGAGGATTTTGTGGTTATAAATATCATCAAAGAGCATACTTCAAAGATATTGACACCATTCATAAGAAAATAAGAGCATCCACATCTTTGGTGGTGCTTGCAAGCTTTTCAAATGCCATGTGATATTGATTGTGATTATTTATCAAAAGAAATCAAGACACACGAAATCACAACATCATCAGTTCTTTTTATTAAGAACCAGAAGGTTTTCACCAAACTTACATATAAAACCTCACTACAATATTCTCTCTTCTCTCTACAAAGAATCCTCACTACAACCTCTCACCTAATCTACACTCTGTTACACGAGATTAGAAAGAACAATAAATTCTAAGAACAAAACCTAGAGAGAAAACGAAATGAAGAAGACGAAGAAGTAAATTTGATCTGTATATTTTCAATGTTACACACACACACAGAGAAATATATACCCTAGACTAGTCAACCGGGTCACCAACGGATCAAATACAACCCGCGTGTCTTACACTTCAACCAAACCACATCTTCAATCCAATATTCCTGCAAATATACACAATATACCCTTCTATACAAAAAATATAACAAAATATTAAAGGATACATAAAAGGATATAAATGAATTATAAGTTTGTATTATAATATCTTGATAATTCAACACCCCTCCTCAAACTTATAATTCAACTTAATCAACACCGATCCTGAAAAGGATCAACCATACCTAAACCCTTGCAAATCCATTCATGTTGTCCAGCTCCCAATTGTTTAGTAAAAACATCTGCTAGATTATACTCTGAACTTACTTTATGAACTTCAACAACTCCTTTTGAAACTCTATCTCTTATAAAATGAGTATCAATATCAAAATGTTTAGTTTTCTCATGAAAGACTGGGTTATGAACCAGTTTTATTGCTGACTCATTATCACAAAAGATAGAAACAGGAGTTAAATCTTTCAAACCAACATCAAACAACAATTTTAAAATCCACATTATTTCACATGAAATAACACCAAGTGCCCTGTATTCTGATTCTGTAGAGGACCTAGAAACTGTATCCTGTTTCTTACTTTTCCAAGACACAATAGTATTACCAAGAAAAATAACATATCCTGTTACTGATTTTCTGGTCATCAAACACTTAGCCCAATCAGCATCAACAAAGCCTTTTAAAACCAGCTTACTTTTAGTAATAGAAAAACCCCTTCCAGGATTTAATTTCAAATATCTAAGTAACCTAACAGCAACATTAAAATGAGATTTTCTCGGAGAATGCATAAATTGACTCAATACTTGAACAGCATATGAAATATCTGGTCGAGTAATAGTCAAATAAATGAGCTTTCCAACTAACCTTTGGAAAAGAACAACATTATGAACAAGTGAATCATTAACATCAACACCTTCTTTCCTAACTACCACATTACAATCAAGAGGAGTTTTAACGGGTTTACAACCTAACATTCCAAATTCATGCAACAGTTCCATACAATATTTTCTCTGACACAGACAAATACCTTCATGTATATCTATAACTTCAATACCCAAAAAAAACTTTAATTTCCCCAAATCTTTAATTAAAAACTTGGATTTCAAAAACTCTTTAACTTTCTTAATTTCGATATCACAATTCCCACTCAAAATTATATCATCAACATATACAAGTAATATAACAATATTACCATCCGAGCTCTTAACAAACAGTGAAAAATCATTTACACTTTGAACAAAACCAAAATCAAGTAAAAAACCACACAACTTTTCATTCCATTTTCTAGGAGCTTGCTTCAGCCCGTATAAAGATTTCAATAGCTTACAAACTTTATTATTATCTTTGTTATTATATCCAGGAGGTAAAGACATATAAACATCTTCTTCCAACTCACCATACAGAAAAGCATTATTAACATCCAATTGAAACAAATTCCAATTAGAATTAACTGCAAGTGAAATAACCAATCTAATAGAAACCATTTTTGCAACAGGTGAAAAAGTTTCATCAAAATCTATACCTTCCCTCTGATTATACCCCTTAGCTACAAGCCTTGCTTTAAATCTTTCTATTTCACCATTTGACTTGTACTTTATTTTATATACCCATTTACAACCAATGGGTTTCCTGTCAGGGGGTAAATCACAAATCTCCCATGTATTATTTCTATATAATGCTTCAATTTCCTCATTCATAGCATTTATCCAATTAGGATCCAATGATGCTTGGTAATAAGTTTGTGGTTCAACTGATTTATTTAAATTTGTAGCAAAACATTTATTGTCAAAACTAAGAAAAGAATAATTAACAGATCGTTCAATTCCAAATTTATATTTTCCTTCTACAATAAAATCATTAAATTTTTGAGGAAATTTAGACTCACGACTAGATTTTCTAAAAACAAGTTGTTGAGAATCAGCATGACTTTCCTCAGAATTATTAGTGGAGACTGATGCAACAACCTCAGGTTGCGAAACAGAAGTATCACCACCACTTATACCTTCCTGATTAGGTATTGTTGCATCAAAAAAAGAGTTACCATCAACAACAAAATCAGTTGCACTAGATGGTTGATTAACAACTGAGTCACCATCCTGATTATTACTCTCAGACTCTCTACTATTTTGATCCTCATTAATATTTTCAGAGACCACAGATTCATCATAGGAAAATGGATCCCAAGAACCCTTAGCATGTGGAAAAGTAGACTCAGAAAATTCAAAAGACTTAGATGCCAACTTAAACGGAAACACAGTTTCATAAAATTTCACATCCCTGGAAAAGAAACAATAACCACTGTCAAGACTAAACAACTTATAACCTTTTTTAGCACTTGAATATCCAATCAAAACACACTTCTCAGATCTTTCAGAAAATTTATCAGTATTGTTCAACTTTGTAGCAAAAACTAAGCACCCAAAAACACGAATATTATCATAAATTGGAACACGATTATAAACCAACTCAAAAGGTGTTTTTCCATTTAAAACAGAGGATGGAGTTCTATTTATTAAAAAAACTGCAGTCAGAATAGAATCTCCCCAGAATTTTTTAGGCAAACCAGATTGAAACAACAAGGACCTAGCAACATTTAATAAATGTCTATGTTTTCGTTCAACCACTCCATTTTGTTGTGGAGTATGAACACATGACGTTTGATGAATAACTCCTTTAGTTTTAAGAAAACTTGTCATTTTTATATTAACAAATTCTGTTCCATTATCAGATCTAATAATCTTTAAATTGACATTAAACTGATTTTCTAACAACATAACAAATTCATGAAAACAGGTAAACACTTCATCTTTAGACTTCATCAAATAAACCCATGTTGCTATAGTATAATCATCTACAATAGTAAGAAAAAATCTAAAACCACCAATGGATGTAACTCTATAAGGACCCCAAACATCTAAATGAACAAGTTCCCCAAGACTAACTGACTTGTGCTCACTCAAAGGAAACGGCTCTCTAGTTTGTTTGGCCTTATGACAAACATCACAAGGCATAACTGGATTATTTTCAAAATTCAAAAAAGGTTTTAAACAATCAAGTGCCTTATCAGCTGGATGTCCCATTCTATTATGCCAGGTCAACTTTGAAACAAAACATTTATGATTATTAAACACTGAGTTTGACCTACCCAGCAACTGATTTTCCAAATAATAAAGACCTCCAAACTCTTTACCAGTCTTCATAGTCTTCATTGACAGTGAATCCTGAATAAAGCAATTATTTTCATCAAAAATAACTTTACATTTATTCTCTTTACAAATCTTATGAACTGACAAAAGACTAACATGAAATTCTGGAATAACAAAAACATCAGATAGACCAATAGAATTTGACAGATTAATATTCCCAATCTTATCTATTTTAGCAGTTGAACCATTTGGATGATCAACTCTTAAATTAAGTTTGGAAACATCAACCAAATCAGAAAGATGTGATTCAGAAGCAGTCATATGCTGGCTTGCTCCTGAATCAATAATCCACTTCTCTTTATCAAAGAAAACATTATTACAAAACATACCTGCCATATTAGCATTAACAGGTACTCCTTCAGATAATTCCTTTTCATGAAGAAGAGACATTAACTTTGTATATTGATCATTTGTTAGAAAATGATGATCAGACTTATCAGAAGAAACAGCAGACACATTAGCACTATCACTGATGTGAGAGGACACAGTAGACATAGTAGAAGATTTATTAAACTCTGATTTGGGTTT